TACCTAACTTAAATACCTGCATATCTATAATTACATGTTCCTACAGTGAGAAGCCCCGCCAGCCGAGGCGGGCGCGCGCTAGCGTTTACAATTACTGCATCAACGCAGCAGATTGCTTCGAAGCACCATGGAAGCCGAAGGTTGAGCGTTCGACCATGCACTGATTCCCAATCCCCAAGGGTCCAAGCACCCAAATATCAGGTTTTTAGGTCCCAAATACAATTCAGATTATAGTATTTGGGCCTTAGAACCCCATTATTTGAGTCCTTGGACCCTTAGGGAATATGTTGAGCTACGGTGAGCGCGAACACCTCTCGACCAGCAGATGACTTTCCCCCCAACCTCCCAGTAAGCCGCAATACCGTAATACCCTCTACTAGGGGTAAATGTTCCGAAGGAATCATGCTTTCACCTCAAAGATCTCAAAGCCCGCAGCAACCTACAATGTTCTTGAATCGTAAGCGTCAACATGGCAAATGGAAAGGCAGCAGTCATCTACTTCTCGTGCACTCTTGGACTGCATAGTAAACGCCCAGGCGTCTCTGCGCTCATGGATGTTGAAGAATCACCGAGAACTGCCCTAAGGCTAGGAGGAGCTGTGGGTTTAGGGATATTGCCCTTGTCATGGAGAATAACATGAAAAAAGAAGACTGGCGGGGGTATAGGATATGTGAGAACCTGACAGCGATCCCACAACAATCCCTGCGCGTCCCATCTGCTAGCGACAACAGGCGTGTATTTGTGGTCACTGCATACTCCTTGCGTCATTCCTCATACAGGATGAAGCCGCAAGGAGCAACAATGGGACAAGTCAAAGGCAAGCTCCAGAAGGGCATGTTCCAAAAACTAAGGTCCCTATCCCCACATATAGAAGACTAAGGCCAAGACAAGAACCTCCTCCAAAAAATAAGGCCTCAACCCTCAACTACCCCCAACGCGAATTCTTGGGCATCTCCTCACCCAATCCCCAGACCCTAAGTCTAGGACATCCCCAAATCCAGTGCAGGCCCGGGGCGTGACAAAGGCGGCTTCCTGCCTGAAAGTTCCCTACTTGGAGGGTAATGGAGACTGAAATGTAAAAGAAAATGGACAATGAAATGGCAGCTGTGTTGCGGACGGGTCTAGAGATAAGTAAGGGAAGAGTACCAAAGTAACGTTGGAACATTCAGTGTCCTACGCACAACCCTAGTGCACTTTAGACTGAAGGAACCGATCGCACACGTCGACACGTGAACAAAATGACGGCAACATTGAAGGAGACATGACCCTTTTTCGAAACGAAATAGTCGGTACTGAACTGGAGTACAGTCGTCGGTCCCGTTTTGCAGCCTGCCAGGAACCTCAAGTTCATTCCGAGTACTCAGAGTCACACATCGCACACGTCAGTTGCTGTCAAGCTGCGTGAAGTCCAACGGTCGCCCTTGAGAGGGTGGGTCGGTGAACGGCAGCTCTACATGTCCTCAGATCCAATCTTTATCTGGAACTGTTCTCCAGGTCTCATCAGACTTCATGCTATCTGATATTCCCCGGTCTAAAGGGTCAGGGAGGCAGGGGTTGGATCCGGGGCTTGAGGTTGTGTCTTTGGCTCTTTCGGGGTTCTGCATTTGGGGCTGACTCTGAATGGTAAGATTGGGCAAGAATGGAGAGTTTAGGTGTTGGGGTTTAGGGTAATTCTAGATGCCGAGCAGTTGTTGGACCAAAAGCTGGAGGTAGCACCATCCGATACGCTAGCGCAATCTCATGTGGCATACCTCACACAGGATTCAACTGTGTACTATTGGTTCCAAAAATCTCGAGCTTGCCTCAACCCCATCGTTAAAAAAAACGCGGCTTTTTTACAATTGTAGGCATCACAACCAGGGTGCGTGAGGAGACACTAATTGCTGGCATACACAAGTTGCTGGCCCACCCCAAACTCCGGCTGGAGAAAGCTTCCTACGTGTCAGCTGTGTCTCCCTGCAAGCGAAGACATCCGGCCTGCGGCATTTTTCATCTGGGAATTTAATGGGAGGTCAGGTTCCATTGGGATATGTAGGGGCGCTTCTGTTTCTTTTAGAGCACCCAAGTAGGGTTTGGGCTGAAGATTTTTGCCATGCCTGTCACTGGATTATCTGGATTAGGCGGTTTTCCCTGGTAGCTTCAATCCCGCCCTACTCTCAAAATATGTCCTGCCTAGCACCCAACAAGTTCAAAACCCAAGGGCCCAACATGTTTTTAATAGTGGGGTTACATGAGAACCGCCGACAACCTGATCTGATGTTCCCAAACTTCACCCAACCCTCGAGCCCAAGCTCGAATCCTTGAGCCCAAACCCCTAACCCTGCGCAGCTGGCTGTCAGCATGCGCCTTGAGCCAGCCGGGTTCGCGTGCGATTCTGTCCAGGCTTAGAAAGTTACCTTGGCTGCTGGGCACAAAACATGTTCCAGGCTGTTAAAACCCACTTTAAAGAACTACGACAAGCATGCCATTTAATTAGTTTGATAGCGGGCAGTTTTGAGTCTAGGCGCTTGAGGGATGTTGCACGGAAGTTCTTTTTCGGGATTCTGGTTACCTTGTGCCAGCACTGATCAGGGCGCTACTGGAATGATGTGAGCAGCCACGCTAAGCAGAACGAACTCGTTCCAGATTTAAGTGCTGTTTGTTGGAATATTCTGAAAGTCAAGTACTCACCTGCTCAGGTTGCTGCCGGAAGGACGCTAAAAGAGCTGTGTAACAACACGGCTTATCAGATTCTAGTTGAAGTCTTGCAGAGGCCCGAAGAATCGGCCAGACACGTCTGGGCCACAGCTTTCCTGCCATCATTAATCCAAATGGTGCCATCTTCTTGTAGTTTTCAGTAATCAACTGAGCCTGCAGGCTGTCAAAAGCAGCTGAGAATTTGCGAGCTGCCTGAAACATGAGGTTCTCATGTGAGGATCCGCTCTTGACGCAAGTTCGCAAGTTCTGAGCATCTCTTGCGGGCTTCCGCTGAAGGGGGAGAACAACTGGGAAGTGGTCTTCCACACAGCCCAAACACTTATCGCAACCTCAATCATTACTCCAATAGCATCTTATGAGTATATGCCAAGGTGTGGGTGGCAGTGCACCCCAGGGAAAGTAGTCCTAAATACAGGAACCCAAGCCAGGTATCCCGTTTTAGCTCCCCCCTGCACCTGATGTATAATGAAGATGATGTAGAAGAGTGGAGCTCCGACCACTTAGACCCGACCCTACATAACGATGTTGTAGCCTAAGTACCTCCGGAATCCTATACTGCAACGCTTCTATCATGGTGTTTGGAGGGCTAAGGTAATAAGTCTGAACGCTAAAACCCAAACCTGAACCATCAGTCCCAAACCTCTCTGCCCAAGCCCTAGGACCCCTAAGTCCAAGCCCTAAGCCGAAGCCCTAAACCCTAAACCTTCAACCAGCCGAAGGGGCACCAGCCTTGGTCGGAGACCTGCCAAATTATCCAGATGCGGGGCCCGCTTGAAGTGATGAAAATAAGATCTATCCATACATTTCTCCTATACACATGTGCATATGTGTATACATGTAGCTACTCATATACCATATATTTAGATAGATAGATAGATAGATAGATGAATAGACAGACAAATAGATAGAGTTTGAGTTTAGGGCTCAAATGTCACGGAGCTTAGGGTTTAGAGTTTGGGGATTAAGTCTTCTAGAAGTGGAACCGCAAGGAATTCTTGGGGATGCTAGGGGAGTTTAGGGGTTCCTACTTGGGATTCTTTGGGTCTAGGATTTTAAGTTTGGGGTTTTGGGGGAATCTTTTGTGAACTTCGCGCCTTGTTGGTGAAGATGAAGACGCCGCCTTCACGGCGAAAGTTCCAAAGCTCGTCGAGGTATTCGTACAGCCTCACTAGTTCGGTAAAGGTTTAGTGGTTTAGGACAAAGGCTTATAAAGTGTCGGGTTAAGGGTTCATATTGTTCATGCCTACCTTCTAATGAGACATAACAAATGCTCCTCCCTCTATATCATGGTATTATCTCGGTGGAGCCATGACATCTTTGTTGGGGGGGATTATGAGGGTGATTACTTCAGGAGGTTTACGGGTAATGGTACGTGTCGCTTGAAGCAGCTTACCTTAGTTGAAGAAAAGAACAGCATATAATCTTTTCTGGGTAGAAGCCTCAAAGCCTCCTCGGCAGACGTCTTCCGAATTTTCAGAACACCTCGTACCCAAAACCCTCACCTCACAAATGTCCCCTCTATCATCCAATTATCCCAACATTCCGCTCATTTCAAGGTCCAAAAGAGTTCCTCAACAGCAAGCGGCCCCAAAATACGCCCAAAACGCTGGGCTCAGTAATGACTGCGGGAACCAAAGCCCCTCACTTTAGGAAGTCCCCATACCATCCCGCAAATTGACATGGAATCCAGCAAAACTCCCTGTAAAGGCTTACCATCGTTTCATCGTTTCTAAAAGGGGTGCATTTTCAGGGATTCCATGTTCCTTTGGGGGAAGGCACCGTCCCCCATGTCAGCACAGGAGCATGGAGATCTCGAATCGGGCCTTGCATGCCCAGTCGCTGGTCGCCAGGTCTGGAGGCGGAAGAATCTCCTCTCTTTTCATGCAGGACTGCGGGCTCCGGGTTAGGATCAGTTTACCCTTGAGGGTGGGGGCTTAGAGGGTTTGTGGGGTTTGCAGGGTTCATGCGGTGGAATTACTGAATTCAGAAAGAAGAAAGGGTACCCTCAGGTAGTCTGAAAATGCTTGGGCAGTCTCAAGGCAATACAGGGCTCCGTATTGAGCGTCGTAGAGCCATGTTTGTGAAGTCCCACTTGCTTTTGCACATGGGAAGCCCTGGCAGAGTTGCTTACCACCGTAAGAGCGCAACACGAGAAACACTCAACGCCGAACTGGTGCATCCCAACAGTGTCGAAAGCTTCGGCTACACAGAGCCAACTACCAACCTGTAGAATGTCTATGATCCGACGAACATGAAACAAAGATGCACGGCACCTACATTTCAAAACGCTGCAGGCTTGTAGAGACCTCAGACCTAGACCCTACTGGCACACCAAGTCACGATGTAGGCGCTGATGCTGATCGCCTCAAAGTCGCCATGCCCTTCAGCGTGGGAGAGTAGGTTGTTTTGGTGACGGCTTCAGGACTATGAGACTACTACTTACTGGTTCTTATGAGGGAATAAATCCACTATACCATATACTCCCTTATTCCCTACTAAAAGCCAGTAAGATTAGCGACGAAAGCGTGAGAAGTACTGCAACTCTGCGGAGCTCAGACTGGATCACATGGGATCGATGGCTCTGTCTGGCTGGAAGTCCTCCTCCTTAGGGTCCCATGACTCAAATATGCTTCAGGTACCAAATCTAACAATTGATAGTGTTGGGCACCTGGCATCACAATTGAGGCTGATTCCCACCATGTGGCTCCACTTCACGAGCGGGGAGGGAACCCTGATACAAATCTTGGACTTGTAGTGTAGTCTGTAAGGTTCAGAAAAGGAGAAGGGCCCATTCCATTCTTCTGATGTTGAAGCGCAGCTTGGCATGTACTATCGAGACATGTGTACCTCTCCAACTTCATTTTCCACTTTCTGTTCGCAAAGGCAGGCACTCGATTTTGCCCTAGTTAAACTGGAACACTTTTTTTAGACAAGGAACATATATACTATAAAATAGTATAATATATTGTACATATGCATATATACATATATATATATGCCTTTTTCCATACTACTGTAGGAACCAGTAATTAAGTGCTTTCTTCATCAGACCCAGTGCCCCCAAGTCCTCCGGCAATTCAACTCCTGGCCTCGCGGGTAGACGGAAAGGCGGAAGCGGAAGGAGTGCGGTGGGCCCGCAATGTGCGAGTAGATATACCTCGTCGAGCTCAGGGGTTGCGAACTTCTGTCCATAACCCCTAAATGAAGCAACCCTAGTTAGCCGTTAGCCTAGCGAGATCCTGCGTTCGGATCTGGCGACTCCCCCCAGCCCCACAGCGCACCTTCAGCTCAAATCAAAGAAGATAGGGCCGGTATTGTCATCAAGGGCACGTAGTCCCAAATGAACTGAAGATGTGGCATTCAAACTCTGCAGGCGAATCTGAGTCCAAGCCATAAAGCAAGAAAACAAAAACTCTCCCAAAAAAAGGAAGGATGTTTGGGTGCTTGTTAAATCCTCACATCTTCGCAGCTGTGGCGCTCGCCCTTCGCTAGCTTCAGGTCTGCCTCTCCAAGTCGGAAGTCCACGGTGTACCAATGCGCAGACGCCTGCTCTCTTCCAAGGGCTATGGAAAGAATATGGAAACGACTATCCACGACATCTTTGCTTGTAGCCATGTCTCCTTTCTTAATGAAACTGAAGTTGAGAACTGTCCATAGTAAGAACTCGAAACTTCGTTTCCACCATTCTTGCAGTCCAACTTGCAAAGGGCAAGCTGGATCACAGCCTGCATGCTCTTTCCACTGCAAGTGCAAAGATAGCGGCAACTAAATACCAGCTCTTGGAAGAATGATGAACATGATTGCAGAACACCAACAAGAAGGCTTATATGACTGATGATGACTTCGTAGCATGACAACAAACAGCAAACCAGCTGCAACTATCATAATCCTAGACCGACCCCACCGAATATTTCCATCTGGGACCCTATAGTCCCTGTTTGGGGGTGCTCGGGGTCTCGGGCCTAGGATAATGTAGAATAATGCTAACTGGCCCCCAGGCAGTGGAGCACCACTGCATGCAACTGCAGAAATTTGTTCTGCACCGCTGCATCTGCATCTTTTCACCCTAAACCCCACCCTAAACCAAAAGCCCAATGGCTCAAACCCTAAATCTGCCTGGCTCGCTCCAGGCGGAGTTGGTGCAGCTGCCATGAGGCACTTGGATGACAAGCACTGGCAGCTGCAAATTCCATTTACTAAGCCTTTACTCTGTTGGGATAATGGAAAAATGGAAGCTACTATAGTATATTGGGGTTATACTGGGGTTATATAGGGGGTTATTGATGAAGGCTTGGATCCCTGATCTTGCATCTGCACTATGGTTCCACACGGAGTACGTACAGAGTCACAGAGTGACAAAGCGCCTGACTACGCAGGATGTTGCTTTGCTGGCGTTCAAAGGGACATCAGACTCATTCTGAGAAATGTGTGGTTGCCTTAGCCGAACACATGCGCCTACTACGACTGCAGAGAGGTTATTGCGCATGGGCAAATATGAAATCTAGCACACGCATGGCATGGAAGTCAATCACTTGCTTGATCTTGCAGCTGCCGAAAATTGTCAACTTGGGGTCTCACACGGAAACTCGCAAACCGTCTACAAGACCAAAGACACGCACCGAGTCTAAGGAGGTCCATTGGTCCATTGTACAATCCGTCCGAAAATGACTGTGCACGGTAGGTGTAGGTGCAAACCCGTTTCAGTTGGGGTTGGGCCAAACGCCCATTATCCCGGACTGGCCCCGTAAGCACGGCTCGAACAAGGGGGTGAGGATTGCACAAGGCGCGGTGCCTTTCTGTTGCCTATTTCCTGTTCCGAGCTGCTCAAGAGTGGACTCGTGGCTTTTCCCATAAACCGAGTTCAAGACCTGGGAAACCTTAGATTTAATATTGCAGACTTTCGGTTACTTGTAACATATGACTTCCTGCCCTGAGGGAGATGCGCCCTGCTTAGCCTACTATCCCCGGAACACCTTGCGCGTCAGGCATGGCTCATCAAAACCTCTGCGAGTTTAGAGCACTTCGTCATGCAAAACCCTCTACCTCCACGGGCTTTCGCTGTTTGCGCTCTATCTTGCGTGGTACAGAGGAGGGAAAAACACGGGAAAATATTGGCCTGCAACTTACGTACTCCTGGCACATCTGTATTTGCTTCTCACATTCTGCTCAATTCGGTAAGCCTGAGGGGACCCTGAGCACAGGCCCATGGCTTCGAGAAGTTCAAATGCACAAGTTGCACCCAGACTGGCTCAGCCGCACCTCTGCTTGTGCGCTGGTACTGAACCTCAGCCAGAAGCTTTGAGCATGAAATCTGACAACATGATAGTCATCCTTTGACTTCTGACTTACCCAGGATCTGACAGTCTCCCGTGTTTTTGGGTGTGGGGCAGGGCCGACCTGGATAGGTCTGGTAACTTGAGCAGAGCAGGCCTCACATACTGAGCACCTGTTCCTCTCGACAAGGATACTGGGGACAGTCGTGGGGTCCTTTCTTGGCGGAGCCCAAAACAACTCACGACATGGGCAGTAGATTTGCCAGTGCAAAGCAGCACACAGTCCAGCTGGGTAGTGCTTATCATTCGAGAAGTCTTACAGTTAGCAGGACTGGTAACGGGTGCATAAATGAAGTAAGAGGTGGTAGGTAGTGCTACCAATAGTCAGGAAGCACGACGGCAATGAGAATGGCAGTAGGTTGCCCTGGGTCGCAGGCTTTACCCAGGCCGTTTCCTTCCTTCGCGCTTCCACTGGCGGCACCCAGCAGGACGTCACCTGCCAGAAACGCCATCGCGGGCCGAACAGAAACGATCACCATGATAGCAACAAGTGGTTAGAACAACATAGCTTCTGGATAGATAGTTAGGGCAGTTCACCAGATGACAGGTCTCCCCTAAGCGCAACTGCTTTGGTGTTGATTCGGGTTAATCCGTTGCTCAAGATTCACGCTACTGCCAAAGAGATCTTGAAAAAGTAGGAGGGTTATAAAAGCCTTCAATCTTCTGTCATACAGCCACAGCGTCCTGGCCTTCAAAGAAACAGATGTCGTGATAGGCCGTGTGAAATCTACGACAAAAAAGCCCAGCTTGTAGACAACGTACTACTGCTGGTAATAAATTCGGCGGGGTCGGCATCTAAAGAGAACACAAGAACTGCTTGGGGAATTTTACGAGCTACTGTAATTGCACAGGTACATGTTGCAGCCATCTGCATGTCTGTCCATTAAAGCAACTTGCTGTGTAGCCTCACCGAACTGTGAGAACATGCTCTTCAGCGACATCCGGCCTCAGCGCGCTACCGTGTCAAGCACCAATCCCTGACCTCCCTGTTACCTGAAATCGCATGCAGGAACAAGCATGTCTGGCGTGGGACGCAAGTCTGTGCCAGGGATTTTCTGAACCTATATGAGCTATAGTCTAAACTCCTAGTATCCCCCTTAATAACCCCTATAGTAGTTCCCTATATAATCACCTATATAACCCCCCTTTAAGGAGTTTAGACTATAGCTCATATCAGGCCGGGGGATGGCTTTTTCCCTGCAAGCAGGAGCAATTTGTGCCAAACTGGTGTCAATTAGAATCCCAGGCTTCCGACTCGAAAACTCGGTGATGCCAGCAGTCAAGTTCCTCAGAAACATGCAGGTTTGGCAAAAGAAGGGAACTGAGGGATATGTCCTGAGTACACAGCGATTATGGGGGATGCTGCAAGAAACATTCGTATGGTAGCTTCCCTAAATTGGGGGGCCCCAATATAAAGTCCAAAATACTATAATTAATCCTATTATAGGACCCCAAATTGGTACCCCTAATTTTGGGAAACATGCATTTTCTGGCTTCGCAATCTATACGCCCCAGGCCTGGTGATTATCCTTTTCTGGGATGCTGTCAGGGAGCCTCACTGGATTTATAATACAATGTGAATATATAGAGTAAATAACAGAGTTACCGAATTATAGCAACTTATATTCAATTCGGAAACCGCTGTATAGTCCAAATCTCCATTTCATTTTCCATGTTCTTTGGCGTTTTACCCTCCATTGTACAACAACTTAGTTCAACCCTGAATACTATAGAACCCCCATTCCTTAAGTAAACTTCATCTCTGTATGCATCATAAGAACTCTTGCTCCGTGGATTATCCAAACCCCTAAGCCCTAAGTCTTAAAGCCTGGAATCCTTTCAGCCATATATTGGGTCAATCCCCCAGCCAGGAATGGGTACCACGAAGAACTATTGTAGAGATATGAAGGCCCTATTAGTTCCATATTCAAGGGCTTTTACTGTAGGGGGGGGAATGACCTAAGCCATGTAGCTCAAAGCCCCAAACCTGAACCTGAAGCCCTGAATTCTAAACCCTCAAGAACTAAACCTTTAAACTTAATGGCTTAGGGTTAAGCACTAACCTGCCATTACATGTTCCCTTTGTGGTATACTGTAATATGTTGGGAAAATTTGCGTCATAGCGGTGCATCATTAGGGGTGAGGTTCAAACTTGACCCTCAACCCTAATCTTAGGTTAAGGGAGGATTGAAACCTAAACCCTTCACCCCTAAATCCTAAACCCCAAAACCCCTAAATCCTAAACCGTGAGGATTAAAACCTGACGAGGCGCAAGGCCAGTCGAGCCATGACGAAGGTGACGCAAGGCGCGCTTTGTGGGAAACTGGAACTCAAAGCCTACTGTGCCCGTGTGGGGGTCCCCAAAGTAAGGATTGTAGTGTTATGTTGGGGTCCCCCTATTCTGGGAAACTGAAGAAGTACCTGTCGGATTCACTTTATGGCTCTTGATGTTCTGCTGGTTATGATTCTAATGTTTCTTATAGCATGCCTGACCCCAATACTTTTTTCAAAGGATTTAGGTCCATACTTAATGCCTCTTGGCTCCATGAATGATGCTTAAGCTGAAATCTACAAAGAGAAGCTGAAGACCCAAGTGATTCTGTAGGTGTCCTTCAAAGACGATACTAGCTTGGTGACAGGAAGGAACCGTTTGAGAACTCCTTGCAGAACTTTCATTGGTTTTTGCATACTCAACAGCTTCATGGTGGCCTTAGCTGAAGTTCTGGTAGAGGCCGAGCCACCCGAAGCCTAAACCCCTAACATGGATGGAGGCTCCTCCCCCCCGCCCTCTGAGCAGCTATGCGGCCTCCTGCTGCGCACGCGGGGTTCATGGACATATCTGATGGGTTAGCTCTTAGGACAAAAGGGGTGAGGGTCGGGGGCTCCCCCTAATATTCAACCCCCCCCCCCCCAAAGATTAAATACTCCCATTGTGGTATATTATTAGAATATACTGGGATGCTTGATATTGGGGGGAGTTCAATGTTAGGGGGAGAGGATTACAATTTCAGTTCAGAAGTCAGTGCAGCCTCAGGACATGGAGGTGCCACATAGTCATGCTCCACAACAGGATTGACATGTAGGAAGCCTTTCCTCACCCAATAATGGTGACCTAGCTAATTACTAACGCTGGGGTCCCCGAATTATGGAAACGTGCATTAAATGTACAGTTTTTTTGGGTGGTATCGGTTAGAAGGCATCCAAAATCTTGAG